TCCATATATGCTAATAATAGATTATCTTTATTCTTATTCCAAAACATAAATCAAATCCAAGCTTAATACTGAATACCAGAATATTATCAGGTAAACATAATTATGTTTAAGTTTAGATATTGGTGGATCCTATTTAAACAGAGTGATTGGATGTCTAGGGAGGAGAGATGGAGTCAGCACTTGAAAGGGCATAAATTGGAGCACCCAGAGATGTTTTGGGTCTGTTTCTGGCAGTCCTGCGAGATGAGCAGTTCAGAAGATTGGATCCCAGAAGTTCGCCGTTGAAAATTCCCGCAGTGACACTAGAGGGATCAACCACCACTGTCCAGATGGTGGACTTACAAATTAAACTTGGATTTGGCTCTTTCTCTGCTCATCATCACCATCATTGCCATGTTGGATTGTTTCCATTAACACAGAACACTGAGAAACACATCTCCAGGCCTGTATGTGCCTGTCTCTCCTCGAAAGAAAAATAAGCATTAGCTCAGAGTAAGTTAATTAGTAAATGATTCAGGTGAATTGTTTATCATTTTGTGATTATTACTATTTAATTTGGCTTTTGCTTTGCTCCTGCTAAATTGATTTTTTAAAAATATCCTGCAATTAAAGTCTGAATTGTGGACATTCACTTTTTAACCTTTTGTGAAATAGTGAAGTTAGAAATCTGGATGCTAATCATTAATAGTGCAAATAGCTCTTACAGGTTACTACATCCCTTAACATATAACAGTCCCTTGGGGGCCTACTGTTGCTCATTGGTCCAGTGTTCTCTTTTTGTATGACAGTACATTTTTCATTTTATTTACAAATAAACGTCCTCAGACTGGGAGAATATTGCCATGCCAGTGTTTTTTCCACTGTGTTTTAAGCACAAAGTTATCACAGCTGTTCACTGGAAGATTTTAAAGTACTTTATCCTTTCCGACTGTGTGTGCTAACAAGATTTTTGGAGATGCATATTTGCTTTTCCAGGAGGACTGCACACAGTGCCAAAACTATTGCCAAGTAGTTTGCTAATTATGTTCTTACTGTGATTACTGTGTGGCCAGCAACCTTGTCTGACTGAACCTAATGGAGAATGTGTGGGGTATTGTCAAGACAAAATCATCAGTCTTGTTTTGTATATTCAACAATTCCAGACAGAAAAATAACTCTGCTGTTACCTTTTAACTGCACCTCTTTAAGAAGTGCTCTGTTATAAAAAAACATTCTATATTGTGTTTTCCCCAATAATGTCCCCAACTCGTCCTCTAAATGTTGCAGGGAAAATGTTCTACCACTATTACAATTTCACAATTAAAGAAACATTAAAAAAAAATCATCTCAGCCATAAAAAGCATGGTTCTGGGTCTTGGACCTAGCGTTTCTGGACCCTGCCCTGTTGGTCTGTATTGGTTCCAGCTATGAGATTTATTATTAAAATAGACATAACATAATTTTTTCACCCCCTCCCAAAGAACACATGTTCAAAGCAGCATGTCAGACCAATATCAGACAGAAATGTCACATGATATCAAACAGAAGTTGTTAATTCAGCTCTGCAAAGTGGGCAATCATAGTGAAGCAGTTCATTATAAGCTGTAGTTTTAAGTTACTCTTTATATTTCTGGCCACCAGATGTCATCAAAGATGACTGTGTTGAAAAGCTTTGAGTAATGAGCAGTTTTTCAATGCAAGCTTCAATGCTTCAGAAAGCTTCATTTAGCCATCACAACTGTCAGGTTTGAACTTGAGTTTTGTGAGCTGGCCCCCAAGAAAGCTGAACTGTGATCTGAGAAGCTGTGCTTTCTGTTCCCCATCTAACTCATTCAGAGACTATTTCTAATGTTGCAATCTCTGTGTATCTCCTGCTCATTCTGAGACGGCTTGATATGCTGCCTAGGCTTTGTGCTTTGTGGGCTTTGTGTCGGACAGGGTCGTCTGCAGTACGGGGGCCCCACAGGGAACGGTTCTGGCTCCGTTCCTCTTCACCATCTACACTGCAGACTTCTCCCACAATTCCACCCAGTGCTTCCTGCAGAAGTTCTCTGATGACTCTGCAATAGTCGGCCTCATCACTGATGGGGACGACAAGGAGTACAGAGGTCTGACCCAAGACTTTGTGGACTGGTGCCAGCTGAACTACCTCCAGATCAACGCCAGTAAAACCAAGGAACTGGTGGTAGACTTCCGCAGGCACAAGCATTCTCCACTGCAACCACTGAACATCCAAGGTATGGACATTGAGGCTGTGGACAGCTACAGGTACCTTGGTGTTCATCTGAACAATAGACTGGACTGGACTCATAACTCAGACGCCCTCTACAGGAAAGGGCAGAGCAGGCTGTACCTGCTGCGGAGACTCAGGTCGTTTGGAGTGGAGGGCCCACTCCTGAAGAAATTCTATGACTCTGTTGTGGCTTCTGCTATCTTTTATGGTGTGGTCTGCTGGGGCGGCAGCATCTCTGCTGGGGACAGGAAGAGACTGAACAGGGTGATCCGAAGGGCCAGCTCTGTTCTAGGATGCCCTCTGGACCCAGTGGAGGTGGTGAGTGACAGGAGAACGGCGGCTAAGCTGTCATCCCTGATGGACAACATCTCCCACCCCATGCAGCAGACTGTGACAGCACTGAGCAGCTCCTTCAGTGGGAGACTGCGGCACCCACGGTGTGGGACGGAGAGATTTCGCAGGTCTTTCCTCCCCACTGCTGTCAGACTCCATAATAAAGACTTTAACTGATCAAGCACACACATCCATACATGTGCAATAATACTAAGTGCAATAATCCTATCTGTCATTGTTGTATTTTTACTCAGTTGTATATAGTATTTGTATTTGTATTCTATTCTTATCTTATTGTATATTTATTTTATTTTATTCTACTGTATATAGTATTTAATTTTATTCTATTCTGTACAGTTGTGTACTGTATTTATTCTTATTGTATTCTAATTTTTGCCTCATAACTTTTGCACTGTCCACTTCCTGCTGTGACAAAACAAATTTCCCACGTGTGGGACTAATAAAGGTTATTGTTGTGATATTTTGATACCATGGTAGCATTTACAGGATATTGTTTTATAGTGATATTATACAGGAAAACTGTTACTCAATAAGGCCCATTTACTAGTTGTTTTTCTCTTTCTCTGTGACCCAAGAATTAATGTGTAAGAATCACAGGATGGTACCTCAAGGTCGAAAACACCACAGAGATCACTTCCTTACTCCCATCCTCCCTTCTTTATCTCCTAGAAAAGAGCTTGTTAAAGGCCAGGTGGTTTGTTTCAGAATTCACTAATGAAAGAACTCTGTATTCTATGTCTAGGAGTGTATTTTGCTGGAATGATCATAAATTGTAGCTGAACTGATAAACTACACAAAGGATACTTCTTTGCTCAGAAGGCAGGAAGACGTTTCCTTATTTGGTCTGTACCGGTTTGAACTGAGAATCTGCTGACACACGAACCTTTTTTTTCCTCTATATAAACTGTTGTATACTGAATAAACCTTTGAGTTGATTTTGGAAGAGCAACCTGAAGCAGTTTCTGTGTCATTTTGTTCTCCCAAGCTACTCCCGGCGCTGTAACTAACCTGCTGAACGGCATACCTGAGCTTACTGTGAATAATTAATTTTATACAGAACTCTGCTTATCGGTGCTCACGCCTTGGAGGAAACCCGATCCACGGAGAAACCCGGGACGGAGATTTCTTTCAATTATCTTATCTTATCTTATCTTATCTTAGTCAACTCTCCCTGAGACTGAGAATTGTGTCCCTGTGCTTTCAAAAACTGCTGTGTTCCAAAGCTTTCTAAACTGTGTATTTTGAGACTGTTTGCTGTGCTGCTAACTAAATTCTCTCAGAGACTGAGACTCTGCCCGCAGCCTACCCAGAGATAAGTTTGTGACCTTGTGGTCTCCTCTCTGCTTCAGCCAGAGGTCCCTGCACCGACGCCCCGTCCTGATCCGGCCAAGGGGCAAGGGGGCCTCCAGACCTGTCTCCCTAGGGCAGTGGTTCCCAAACTTTTTTTGCTTGGCCCCCCTTTGTTTTAAATTTCATTATAAGAAGCGTTTGTGAACTAAAATTCAATAATGTGGGATACTGTTTTTCCATGATTTGGACAGCCCAGCGCGTGCTGTCGGGAATACCTACCTTCGCACCACCATTGTGCAGGTGAAGCCAAAGGCAAGATAAGGGTCGTCATATTTTCTAGTCTTTGGCTTGGAAGGAAGTTGGTTTGGAAGCATATTTGGCATATTTGGAAACAGAGATATACAGTTACAATTGTGTCATTAACTGCATTGCTAAGTTTCTTCAGTTATCTGCATGAACATAAGAAATAATCAAAAATGCTTTTTCCTTCATGCACACTTGCACGCTACAGTGTGTCATGAGCTGAAATCAGACACCACAGCACCCCTACCAAATGCAAGGAGAAAAAAAGAAAAGAGTGTGTTTTTGTGCCGGGAGTCTGCAGCTCCCATGCAGCTCTGTTTTTTAGCTCTCTCTTTTTTTTCTTTTTTCTTTTCTTTTCTTTTCTTTCTTTTCTTTCTTTTTTTTTGCTGTTTGCCACAACATGAAGACTTTTGTTGAATAGTTTATTAAATCCTACAAAAATCCTTTAAATTTTGAGTGACGATGATCACTAACACGTGTAAAAGACATGTATTATCATATTATATATAATCTAAAAGAATAAATATTAATCTTGTTTGGGTTTTTTTTTTTTACATGAAATCTGCATGACTGGATTCAAAGATTAAATCTATGGCTCTCTCTTTCAGTTCTTCCTTCCATGCGCTTACGTTTTCAATCAGAAGGCTATTCTCTAACTCTTTTCCCCTTGTTGACAGAATTTTATTACATATATGCAGAATTCCGTTAAATTCCCTCTTCAGCCATTTATTGCGCCTCCAAGTGAAGCCTGTCTGCGTGTCAGTAGTCACGCAGGCAAAAACCCCAATCTTAGACCGGTTCGTGTTGTAATCTCGCGTTATGTAGCGAGACTTCGGGTGTACCGGGCTCAGCAGACAAATGTCTTGCTCTTTTTAATGGGCGGTAAGTTGCCGGGTGCCTAGATATTGAAATAAAAACTAAAAGGGGACTTCAGAATGGAACCGTATTGTTTGTAATAGGAGGAAGTCGAACATACGCTGCTGTGGAGACATTTTAATAGACGCTTAGAGAGCAGACAGCAGAATTCTCATCATATCGACGCGTCTCGTTTCGCCGGCATCTTTCACTCGCTAACGTTGAAAATAGCTAGCTGAGCTGATGGACTCAAGTGGAATTTGTGCTTGTGTGTGAGCTTCACGGTTGTGTTAGTGGTGAAAAGTGTGCGTTGTACGCCAAGTGAAAGCCGTCGACTTTAATAGAGGCACGTGGTGACGTAGTAGTCAGGGCTCGCGATATAAAGGCGATTCAGCCTTAGGTTAGTACAGGGTCAAGCTGTTCGGGAGAGGCGGACACATGATGCACCAGCAGGGCTCGTTGATGCCCTCTTTGCTCAGTGGTGTATTCTGCCAGTGTCGGTCGACAGACACACATCCAGGGGCCGACCCTGGTGGTGGAGGCAGGGTTCCCCCTCCGTCCCTCCCTCGGATGCATCACCATCTAAACCAGTAACCCAACAGTCAGCCTCCGGCGTGTGGCACACCGACGAAGGAGAGCATCCATGTGACATATGTGGGGGTTCGGAGCAGGAGCACAGACTCAAAGTGCTCTTCCAGGTCCTGGATGTGAACGGGGATGGAGGCATCTGTGTGAACGACTTGACAATTGGGCTGAAGAAGTTAGGAGTACATCGCACTGAACATGAGCTCATGGTAAGTGGACACAGCTCGGATGCTCCGTTGCATGATATATAGTGTCTTCACTTCCCTTTTTGTGTGTAATAACAGAATTTCAAAGCATTTCCCACGGAAAGACACCACATTCATTGTAAATTTTTCATTTAAGAAAAGTGAACATGAATGCAGGGTGAGACAATGAAATGGAACTGGTGCTCAGAGTTATTTAAATAGGAGAGTAGGTAAGGGAGTCAGATGACACCAGGGCATGGCTTGAAACAACTGGAAAAAAGTACAAATGCACTGAACAAGCTTTGGGGTAAATACAGACTGACATGTCATTTAGTAACAAAGGATTTAGTTACTTGTACACCAAAAAACATTAAGATATATCAACTGAGATAATAGTGATAGCACTGTCAATAAGCAATGCCATGTTAAAGGGTGTTAAATGGTACAGTGCATATTTTATATTTAAAATATCTCATACATAAGAAGTGCCAAAATACTAGGGATCTGCACAACTAGTTGACCAACCAAGTAATCGTTGCTATTGTCACTAATTGCTACCAGATGTACTAGTCGTTTAGTCTTAATTGTTTTACATTTGAATTGATACCCATGGCAGGTGTTGTGCCAAAAAGTGATTTCCAGTATTTGCCAAAAAATGACTGCTGGAACTTAAGCTATTATAAAATAGGTCAATCATAGTTTAACAAAGAATATCAAGTCGTTTAGAGCCAGAAAGTGCATTCCTATCACAAAGTAGCTGCTGCCATCAGTTTTTGGCAAAGTTACTTTTTTTATCAAGTAAATAAAGGCTATATAAGTGTCACTGACATTAGTGAACAGAGATTCTAACAGAGATCTTTAACAGAGATTTAGCAAAGTGGCCTCTTTGCTAAATTGTAACAAATATAACATCACAGTTCTATAAACTTACTTGAAGTGACCAAAAAAGACCAGATTAATGACAGTATGGGTTCAAATACACAGTCATAAAGATACTTCAAAAAGAGGTAATTTCATTATTAAATATATATAACCCCTTCATAAATTTACTGTACAATATAAAGCGCCTTGAGGCAACTGTTGTTGTGCTTTGGCGCTATATAAATAAAATTGAATTGAATAAATCCTATTCACTACAGTCTATTTACTACTGTAAGTAAAGATATTAGATGTTAAAAAAAACCCCAAAAAACCCCCACCTAAAAACAATGGAAATCACTTGCGTCTTAATGTTATGCAGGCATCTGCCACCAGATGCAACTACATTGGTGAGAAACACATTAAATCTATTAATCTGGGCTTGATCTTTTTGTTAACATTATTATTGTTGGGGTTTTAAGGCGAAAAATGAGATCACAGATACACGTGGTGGAAATGAGCTTTCACTGAAAGGTGGATAGTGTTACCCTTAGCAATAGGATGGGGAATTTAGTCAGGGGATCATAGTACAGCTGCTGATTTTCCACATCAAAAGGAGCCAGCTGAGGCGGGCACCTCCTGAGTAAGGTGTTCCAACCAGGCATGTTCTACCAGCAGAAAGTGCTGGGGCAGACCCGGGACCAGCTTTGAATAACTTTTCCCTGGATGAGCTGGAGGAGGTGGTACATATTTCAGTCGCAGTTTCTGAGTTTTTCGGATATTAATTTGTCACATTTCAATAATATGTGAACATCTTTTGTAGTAACATGTTTTCATATCATAGTTAACATCGGTTTATTTTAAGTGTTTTTCTTCTTCGTTGTCTGGAGTATAACATGCAATGTTCACAATGCATAATGCCAGGTGCTGCACAGTTAAGCTGGAGGATTTATTATTGAAGAATGTGATTAGTGGTTTAAAATGCCTTTGTTTAATGAGTTTTTGCATTAAACGGTTCTCAAATTTAACTTGATATTAAGTGTTTCTTAGTTTTAGACTAGTCGGTAGTTTGTATTTTGGGGGGGGGTTGCGCTTGGAGGACTTAGAAATTAGTTGCCTTGAACATCCCAACTAAATACAATTAGAGTACATGCTTAACGGAGTGCAGCTTTGTTATTTAAAAAGAAAAGATTTCCAGACAAGGTAAAAATGCCCCCAAGACCAGTACCGCAGGAACTTTGACAACAGCTTGAGATGCAGAGGGAAATTGGGGATGAGACTGTGTGAGTCTAAAAGAGAGACACAAGACTGAAAGAATCCCAAAGAGAAGTCTCTGGGAGATGAAGTTGGTACATCAATGCCCCGAAAGAACCAACTGACAGCTGAAACAGGAAACATATGATTCAACTGTGTTGTTGTCTAGAAACGTGCACAGTTGAGGTTCACAACCGTTTCACTTGTGTGTTAGTTGGTGAATCCTTGCTGATTGTAATGGTAAAGATATAGCTATGTATTTGTTGTTGTTTTTCTTGGAATACAGATAGCTTGGCTGTGTGCTACTAGGATAAATTCATTTTGTTGGCCTGCTGGGTTGAATGAAGGGGTTATGCTGTGTATAACTTGCAGTGGGGGAAAAAAACCCATTTCAACCTTCGTGAGGTAAATTCCACAAAATTTATACATTTGTAAAAAATGAAAATGTAACTGGTAATTCTATACCTTGTGTTTTGGGTCCCGGTGACCAATGAGATTCCTTTCCTAGTTCAGTTTGATACATGTTTCTGTACCTGAGTGACACGAGTTGATGTTATGGTTTTTTGAGTGAGAGGAGAGTTGCAAATGATGGCAAAGCTTTGTTGAACACAAGCATCTTGTTAAAAATTTTGTTTGGAAATCTGTCTTAATAATTGAGGTACCACTCTATGTTACCATATTTATGTTTTTTCAAATATTTATGAATTGATTCTTCTCAGTGTGACACACAAATTTTTCTCACTGTTTGCTAATAATAGTCTCTTAATACCAGATAACAGTGTCCTCCTAATACCATGTAACATGCTGTTCAAGATGGGATTCACCTTCAACAGCTAAATGAGAATGAAATTTCAATGTTTCTGAAGATAATAGTGAAATCCTATACCCCTTTGACAGCAGGAACCTTTCTTTAAGCAGATTAAAGTCGAGTGTTTTTACTGGAGTATTCTGTATAGTTTATTGCAATGAACATCTAGTTTGTAAATAGTGACCCTGTGCCTGGAAAGCCTACAGACAAAGACAGAACATTTTTGACTAACCATTAGAAGGTGTGACAGAAATTCTCTGTGACCAAACACTGTTGTGCCAGATGTCATGTCAGCATAAGTCACATATTTAACCAAGTCCTTTTGACTGAAAAGAATTATAAACACTGCATGGATCAACAAATCCAACCTGATGTGTTTGTACCCAAGTTGTTTGACATATTTAACAAAAAATACATTAACTCTGGTGCACTGAAAACATTCAAGTTTATTGAAATAGTCCCAAATCACCACAACAGTTGCCTCAAGGTACTTTATAATCAAAGTATAGACCCTACAGTATTTGGGATAAAATCCTACAATAAGGCAATCCACTATTAAAACACTTGTGGGAAGAAAAAACTCCCTTCTAACAGGAAGAAACCTCCAGCAAAACCAGCCTCAGGGAGGGGGCAACTGTCCGCTGCAGCTGGTTGGGATTGAGAGAAAAGAAAAAAGAGCATATTGGGATTGGACAGAACACACACTATGGGGAAGAGACTGCACAAATCAGGCCTTTATGGTCAAATAACTGCTAAGAAACCAATACTAAGGAAAATCAGCAAGCAGAAGAGATTTGTTTAGGCCAGGAAACACAAGGAATGGACATTAGACCAGTGAATATCTGTGCTTTGGTCTGAGGAGTCCAGATTTGAGATCTTTGGTTCCACCCTCCGTGTCTTTGTGTGATGCAGAAGAGGTGAATGGATGGTCTTTACATGCATGGTTCCAACTGTGAAGCATGGAGAAGGAGGTGTGATGGTGTGGGGGTGCTTTAGTGGTGACACTGTTGGGGATTTATTCAAAATTGAAGGCACACTGAACCAGCATGGCTACCACAGCATCCTGCATGCGACATGCCATCCCATCCAGTTTGTGTACTTGGACCATCATTTGTTCTTCAACAGGACAATGACGCCAAACACACCTCTGGGCTGTGTAAGGGCTATTTGACCAAGAAGGAGAGTAATGCTGTGCCAGGTGGCCTGGCCTCCACAGTCCCCTGACCTAAACACAATCAAGATGGTCTAGGACAGTTGTTCACAAACTGTGGTACGCATACCACTGGTGGTACTTGGGCTCCTTCTAGTGGTACACAGGAAGTCTCCAGATTAAATAATGTACCGTGTTCTGGCTGAGAGATTTCTAAAAAATTAAACAGCTCTGCTATCACTTCCGGCATAAATTAAGACAGGAAACTAAACCGAAATGGCGTTTGTAAGCTGGTATATAATTATGTGCTACAGCTGTGTTAGCATAATATGGACACAGTGAAGCTGGAGGATGAACACCAACTTTTTTCCACTCGATTAAAAAAAAGTTCAGTTTGAAAAACTGAACTTTAAAATGAACAGTGGTAATAGCAACCGAGAGAGGCTGACAGTGATCACTGCCTTGTTTTAGGGGCTTGTTTGGATTAAATAGAACAAGATACAAAGCACAACACAACAGCCCTGATAAACTCAGAGTAGTTTGTTCATATGTCAACAGTTAAATACCATATTTCCCACCCGCTGGATTGTTTTAATGCAGTACAGTTGTTATTATTTCCACTTATCACGTCCTGTTTATGACAGTTAAAATAAATAACATTTATATAAGAAATAAAATTGTCTCATGTAAGCTGTATATGGTGTTAAATAGACCTATACTACTGTACTTTAATGTCGGTCATGAGCGTAGTACTTTAAGAGCCATATATTTTATGAGGTGGTACTCGTGAAAAGTTTGAGAACCACTGGTTTAGGATGAGATGAACTGGAGAGTGAAGGCAAAGGGCCACCAAGTGCTCAGCATCTCTGGGAACTCCTTCAAGACTTTTGGAAAACCATTTCAGGTGACAACCTCATTACGGTCATTGAGAGAATGCCAAGAGTGTGCAAAGCA